ACTCTTGGTGGTAGTTCGCATGGATTCTCTCTTAGGCCAGCTTTGTTCCCTCTTTGCAGCTTCCCTTAGATGATCCATGTTTCTGGCTTTTCCACACTTCTGAGGTTTCCACTGAATAGGCTTCTCACTCATAGCTTCACACACTGTCCTCTCAGGGGCACAATGCCTGGCCTCCCAAATCGAGGTGGAAGCCTTCTTAACCCCAGAACTCCTGCATTCTGCATGTACCTAAAACCAGTGCCACGTGGATGATGCCAAGGTCTCCTGCCAGCTGGAACAGTAGCCAGGCTTTCCTCTCTCTTGGTTGCAGGGGTCGAGTGCCTGGATCGCTGAGCACTCTGACCCTGATTCCAAGGAACAGATTCTCTATGCCAGTGCCATTCTGTAATCTGGTGTGGCTGCTGCCTCCATTCTGGTACCTAGGACTCTGCAGATTTCTCCTCAAAGCAAAATCCCTTACCCTTGTGATTCTGAGGCTGAAAGGGTAAGAACATGCCACCTCCTGTGATGCCCTCAGGATATCTATTCTACCCTTCTGTTCCTCGTGGGAAATGGAGTCCTCAGCTCAATCTTTGTATTCCACAGCTTTATTGGAGCTTCCTTTCTGGCCCAACTCACAACATTTTAAATCATTCTGCTGGGCTCTTTGCTCTTCATTCTCAACATAAATCTGACTAAGAGCCCCCAACAATAACCATGCCACTGTCCCAATATTTGACTGTTTAGAGATTTCCTTTGAAAGATTAGTCAGTCCTCTATGTTTAATCTCAGTCTCAGGCCAAGTCTCTGGACACGGGCAAAATTCAGACAAACTTTCTGCCAAGCCAAAACACAAATGATCTGGAGTCCAACAACCAATGCAGTCCTTCTTCCCAGCAGAAACCTCCCCAGCCTAGTTTTTACAGGCAGGTTTTCTATCAGTCTTCTGGTATGAGCTCTGACCAGAATCTTCCCTCCACAACAGCCAAAGCTGTTCCAGTGCTTTGCTTGTAGGCGATATCTCCACACCTTTTCTATCTCTTTCATAAGCCATTCCTGAAAGGTAATCCACATTGTCAGGTATAGCCACTGCAATGACCCCACTTCTCTGGTATTAGTTACTTTTCTCTCATTGCTGGGACAAATACTTGACACTTAAAATGAGGGAAGAAAAGATTTATTTAGCTCACAGTTACTGGAGGGTTCAAGACACTGGAGGGATGGACGCTGCTATGTTCACGATGATCCTCTCCACATCTCCAAGAGAGGCCACCAGGCCTGGGGGGTGGGGTAGGGAGGCACATGCTGTCAGTTTAATGGTTCTTGCCTCTCTGGCCTCCCTCCTCAAGCCCTGTCCTGGTCCTCTGGCCCTGCCCCTTGAGCCACTTGCTGCTCCTCAAGTGGCAGCCGCCTCATGAATACATGAGCTTTGGGGGGACAAGTAGATACAAACCATAACAACTTCTGAAACAGTCTTTTACATTTCGTGTGTTCTAAAGATCTGTCTTGAGTCAGCCCATCCATAGGAAAAGAAGTGAAGGATAAGATCTTTTTTTATGAAATAGAGTGATGCTTTTATGGCTCACATATTTAGGAATCTTTTAATTGGTTTGATCCATTTCTAAATGAAATTGTGTTCTGTTGAAATGCGGTATTTCTTACCTTGTGTATATTTTTAATTCTGTACTTGAATTGATTACATTAAAATCACTGAGTATGTTCTCTCAATTAAGAAGGTTCTAAAGATGAACAAATTGAAAATATAGCATGAAAGCGTATTTGAATGACATTTACCTATGTATACACAACATACTAGGCCTTTGGAAATGTACCTTTACACATTAAAATGCTATATAGTAAGATCAGACCTTTTACATCTGTAACTCCAAACAACAGAAGTTTTCATACACTCTGAGGATATAATACATAGGTAGTCCCTCAGCTCCTGAGCAGCTTACTGTTCAGTCAGGGAAGACTAAAAACGATTACTGTATGTATCATGGGAAACATTAAAATTATGTGTATAATCTTATGAATGGATAGAAGAATGGTAGTATGTGGTTTTAAGATTCTATATAGGGCAAAAACATGTCACATCAAGAGAAACCTAGGGGAACATTTTGTAACCTTGGAGTAGGCAAGGATCTTGCAAATATGATACAAAAGGAATAATCACAAAGTTAAAAACTTGAATTAGATAATTTAAAATATGATTAAGATGATGGAAAAGAAAACCCACAGAATAATAGAATACATTTACAATTTATAATGTAATGGAGCATATGTACCTAGAATATACCCAAATCTTGTGCACATAGTAAAGGCAGACAAGCTGTAGAAAAATAGGCTAAAGGCTGCAACAAACAGCTTTACAGAGAAATCTCAGGTGGCCCAAAAGTGTATGAGATGTTCAACTTCCTGAATAACTGCAGAAGTGCAAGTCAAAACCACAGAGAGGTATTAGCATACTTCCCAGAGTCGCTCAAGGAAAGAAGTGTGGAATACCATGTGTTGATGTGGATACGGGGCCACCAGGATTCAGGATTGCTGGTGGGAGTGCAGAGTGATGTAGCCACTTCACGTAAATTTCCAACTCAGTTTAGTAAGTCTGGCCCGATACACACTGTATGCCTGAGCAGTTCTACTACTGGATATTTACCCAGAATTTTATAATCTGTTCATCAAAAGATGATTGCCAGTATGTTTAGGGCAGCATTATGGTATTTGCTCAAAGCTGGGTCTACCCAAGTGCTCTTCCCCAGAAGAAACCATAAATAAATTGTGGTACATTCACAAATCTAATATGAGACAGCAGTGTATTGAGTCTTTAACTGTCTGCAAAAAATATGAATGAATTTGTGTTGAGTGAGAGAAGTAAGATGCTGAAGAGTGCATAATTCTGTTCACATAAAGTATAAAAGCAGGCTAAATAGTCCATGCTGCTGCAAGCTAGGACAGTGTTTGCATCTGGGGTAAACCCAATGGACAGCTTCTGGGATTCAAGCAGTGATCCATTTTTGACCCAATTTTGTGTGTTAAAAATTGACTAGTTGTGTGTATGGTCTGTATACCCTCTTTGGAAAATGTTGACAGCAGAAACAGTGTTTTTTTGTTTGAAGATCTAGAGCCAGCGGCTTGTAGGTAGAGTCCTTTCCCAGGATATGTGAGGCACTATGGGGGTTAACAGAAAAGGCCTGGCCTAGGCGTGGTCTTGTGCACCCTGGTCCCAGCTGCCCGCAAGGCTGAGGTGCAAGCCTCCCTTAAGCCCGGGAGTACAAGACCAGCTGAATAGCACAGTAATACTGCATCTCAGAATTTGAAAAAACACCCTATGTGTGGGTTAAAGACAGACTATGTGCCCACAACTATTATCTTTATTTCTGGGTCTGTGAATAAATATTCTTTCTCCTCTACTGTTTTGACTATTTAAGGCTTTCTTTTGTGAGTTTATGAGTTTTATAACATAGAAAAATAAATGAGTTTAAATAAATGCACACACTGAATATGGGAAGGGGGCAGCACCCTGGAAGCATGAAGGACCTGAAGGGGCAGCCTAGGGGTAGCCTCAGGCTTGAGCTGTATTCCACACTCCAGGACATACACAGTATCACAGACCCATCCCTCTGCTTCTGGCTGTAATCTCAGGTCAAGTTGTAGATCACAGAAAATGTTGTGGCTATTATAAAGAGAAAGTTTTTTGCTTTTAATGGCAAATCAAGGGCTAAGAAAATCAGAAGGATGCAGCCTTCAGGAACATTGGAATCAATAATTTCTAAAGTATAGAACAGTATTTAGATTTTACTCCCATGGGGGCATAGGCTGGATGGGGTCTGGGAGCAAGCTGGGCTGCAGCGCTCTGCTGACTATGCAAAGGTGCACCTTGGTAGTGTAGACGCTTAACCTTGTTACCATGGGAAAGCATACCAGAAACAAAAAAGTATGTCCCACCAGCAAGAAAACCCCAAACAGCAGAGTTATGGTCCCCACTGCAGTTTCCCTCCTGGAGCTCAAGTGCTGTGTGCAGGGATGTGGAGAAGACCAGGTCACTGGTGGAGGGTAGGCTCAGCTTGCACTGCAGAGGCCACGCAGGTGGGAGGAAAGCTGCAATAGCAGGCTCAGCCTGAAGCCCAAGGGATTGCCTGAAAGCACTTCTACCTCTGACAGTTGGCTTTTGCCTGATTGCCCCTAATACCAGCAATTTCACATGATTTTCCCTTTATTCACATTCCCTCCCTCTCTCCCTCTCTCTAACTCCCTCCCTCCCTCCCTTCCTTTTGTCTTTTTGAGACATAGTCTCACTATGCAGTTCAGGGTGGCCATGAGTTCACTTTGTAGCCCAAGCTAGTTTCGAACTCACCGTGATCCTCCTGCCTCAGGCTCCTGAGTGCTGGGGTTACAGGCATGTACCACCACGCCTGGTTTACCATGCATTCTTCTAGGTTGTTTTCATAGTTAAGTTCTTACTTGTAATCTTGTGTTTAGTTTATAGTCTAAGGTCCAAACTCTTTGGAAGCCTCACGTGGTTTTCGGTGGTTGTTTTCATGTTAACAGCAGTCTAGAATAAGTACAGGCAGCTGCCAGCAGCCAGGGCCTGGGTAAACTGTGAGCATTGCACAGCTGACACATTTCACTTTAGAGTAGGGATAAAATGGAGATTTATGCAGTAGTCCTCAGATGAGCTCTGAAACTTTAAAACAATTATAGTTGGCTATCTGACAAATGTGCCCACAGGGCAGAAGTCTGGTGGCTCTCTGCCCAGCCTCCCAGGCCAAAATCCAGATGCTGAAAAGGGGGGAAAGCTGGTACCTGCTGCCGCCAAGGTTGAACCCTGTGGCTGTGGACTGATGTCCACATTACTGTGCTAGGTGTCACCTCAGGTCAAATCAGGCCAGAAAGATGGTGTTTTGAATTTCTCTGTCTTCATGTCTTATTATTTGGGCATCCTGAGAAGTCACATTGTCCCCTATGCTCTTTACTCACATTACACATTTCTGTTCTTACCTTTTTCATTGTCAATGAAGGCTGAGCTGGACAGTCCAGGCAGTGGCTCAGCTGACCTGTTACGATGGACAACTGCCACCACCATGAAGGTTCTTTCCAGCACCACAACGACCACCAGGGCTGTGCTGCAGGCTGTCAGTGATGGGCAGTGGTGGAAGAGGTCTCTGACCTACCTCCGCCCACTCCAGGTGAGCTGAGCATGCACCAGGCTTCTGGCTTACAGCAGTTCTTAGCACTGCTGCACCTTTGATGGTGAGTGTAATCTCTGGGGAAGGCTAGGCCTCCCGTGGGGTAGGAGGGGAATCGTCTCTTTCACAGAGGGAAATACACACCTGTGGAGTGATTGCAACAGACAGTGGCACACACTTGAGTGCAGTGTGCCTCACAGATAAGAGTTAAAATTGGTGGAATGAAAAAAAAATGCTTACTTGCTTTTGCTGTACTTCTGGCTTGTAGTGGGCAGAGTGAAGAGTAGGTCAGACGGTGTCTCAGAACCTCCTTCCGCTCTGGAAGGAGTGTTGGGGTACACGGAGCAGGTGAGCTTGCTCAGAGGAACATTTCAGCTGTTACTTTTCCTGCTGTCTTCTCTGTGTCCTCACACTTCCAGGCCTTTAATTTCACATTAGAAAACCATATGCATTTTTATTATCTTATTCCAAACACTCATGGAATTTCCCATCCATCCATCCATCCATCCTCTGTCCATCCTCATCTGACAAGCACATACTCTTCTGCAGGCTAAGTGCTGTGCTCTACAGCAGGATAGGATAGGTGACACTTGCGTCTGATCCTCTCCCGGGTGGTACTTTCCCTTCTCCGGTAGAGACACAGAAAGCATCTGTGTGGTGTGGTGGTAAGGGCTGTGAAGGTAAGTAAGGAGAGCTTAAGTGGATCTGAGTGACACTGGAGGAGGTGGAGCAAGAGAAAACTTAGGTTCCTCAGAAAAGCACCACTTTGGGCAGAATGTGATTGAATAAGTAGAAAATTACATAGTCTTCCGGGGCACACACTCGATGTCCCATAGAACATAAAGTAGTTGTCCTCATTACTTTTCTGTCATTGCAGAGACAAATCCCCAACACTCAGAGTTGAGAGGGGAAAATGTTTATTAAACTCACAGTTTGCAGAGGTTTAAGTTATGGTGACTGGCTCCAAGGCAGGGTGGCACAGGGCAGAGGAGGGTCTTGGGGGAGAAACAGTCCATGGTAGACAGGTAGGCAAGAGCAAGCAAGGGCCAGCCCCAGTTCTTTCTCTCTCTTCCATCTTATCCAGGGTCCTGAGGTGGAGCAGCACTTACACCCTTAATCCTACAACCCTTGAACCTAGGTTGCACCACTAGTCCATCCCAGTGTCACACACTATAGATCCAGCCACCTCCGAAGAAGCTGCATGACCGCATGAGGCTTTGGGGAACATCGATACAGTAGTAGTCACGTGTTTGAGTAGTGTAGGCCAGCGGGAGGAGGATGGGGGAAAGAGCAGAGGGGGAGTAGAATCCCAGCCCCAGAAGTGCCGTGTGGCCACAATTTGACACAGCTGGACAGCTCTGGGGATGGAGTGTGTGGTCAGTGCAACCCATAGTGAGGTCCTGTTGATGCTGTACAGGAGCTGCTGGGAGGAGTGAGGGGAGAAGAGAGGCTGTGAGCAAGAAGCAAGAAGCAAGAAGGGGTGTTGGGCTGTGTGCGGCCCTGCTGATGTGCACGCATGGGACACACAAGGCAGGGGAGGTCGAAGGGCGTGAGCCTCAGAGCTGGGTGGGTGCAGATGCCTCTGCCTGAACTGCTGTACACTTGACTCTGGGGTGAATCTGGCTATCTCCACTCCTTCATACTTCACAATGGATTGTGATTGTGAGCATTTTCCTTTTCTCACCATTGGACATTTTAAAAGGTTTTAGTCTTAGATAAAATTTTCTCACTGTACCTGCTTGTCTCTATTTCTTTATCAGTGCTGAGACAAAATACCCAACACCTACAAGTTAAAGGAGGAAAGGTTTGTTTGGGTGCAGGCTTCTTAGAGATTTCAGTTGGAAGTCAGTATGCCAGATGGGCAGTGCAGGGAAGAGACCACTCAGAACATAGCAGGCAGGAAGACGGCTCAGGGGAGAAGGAAGGCTATACATGAGCACACACATGCATGTGTATCTACTGACTAACTCTCCATGCCACACCCATAGGGACCCTCCTCTTCCTTCCAGACCCCACCTCCTAACATCACACCCAGCAGTGAGGTGACCCCCCTCAGTGAACTGATCTAGTGCTGCACACCCACAATCCAGTGTCACACATCCATGGTCTAGTACCACACACCCACAAATCTGTGTCACATCCATGATCCAGTGCCACACTCCCATGGCTAGTATCACTCCCTTCCATCTAGTCTTCTCCCCCAAGGCCACATGTGAACACTTGAGGCTTTAGAAGGGATCCTGCATGTGAGCCCTAACCCTAAGCCAGTGTTTCCTAAAATCGGCTGTCACTGTTAGAGCAGCAGCAGCTTTGCTGTTTCCTAGTCGTGCTTGATAGAAACAGTTGCACAGCACCTGGTTCAAGTCAAAGAGGGGAGATGAACTCTCTTTGGGAGCCTGTAGGGTTGTTCTCAGGGGGTTGTTCTCAGGGTGCTGAGAACAAAAGGTGTCTATGAGTGAGGGCATTTGCCAGAGTGACAGGGAAAGAGGCAGTGTTGCTGTCATCTTCCTGGGGTCGGGCTTGAGTGGTGGCGTGGCTGAGCTGGGCTGGTGAAGGCGAATCCCTCCAGCAGCCTGACTGGCTGGGTGACTGGGCACTAGGATACAGGCAGGATGGTGACCATGGAGTGGAAAGTTAAGGCTGAAACACCTCAAAGCCTGAAGTGTTATTCTGCTTCTTGATCTTCCAACAGGGCAGCAACATGCCCATGACATCTGGGGTGGTTGTCCTGCTGTGACAAGGACTTGCTTTGTGTGTGTGACATTGATTGCTTGGTGCTTCTGACTAAGTGAGGCCAGAGGGGCCAGAAAGCAAGAGGTGCTGGTGGCAGGGTCGAAGTGCTGCTCTCGGATGTGCTGTCATGCCTAGGTCCCTGCTAAGTGTGTGTGTTCCATGACCCATCCAGTCTCAGAGACACATGAGGGTTCTCCTGAAATCCACTTTCCCTCTCTGCCCCTTGTTCTTTTTACTCACTGTTCTTCACTTGGTTTTGTTTAGGGGCAAGAATTTGGTGACTCTTATCGAGCTGGAACTGTAGCCAATGAAGACCTAGGAAGGCAAGGATGTCATCCTTTCTATGCGTCGGTCATCTCAAGTCCTTCTGTTACTGAGGTAAGGGGAGTGTCCCTAAAAAGACGGGCTTCACTGTCATCTGCCATGGACGTGTAAAGGAAGTCCGAAATCCCCGTGCAGATGTACCTTTTGGGCTTGGCTATTGCTTATGCATTTTGGCTGTATGTGTATATTTTCATCCACATGATGACATGAGGTGAAAATCATCTGAAATGCTAGGTAAAATGGCGTATACAGTAGTGAGAAGCTGCTGTCCAAGTTGCCAGAAGCCACAGTGTCCTACAGTTGTTTTTTAAGAGCGTGCTCTTAGAAAAGGCACACATTAACAGGTGGGCGTTGCTTCTGTCCAGTCTGATGTGACCTTTGACACTGGTCAGTGGCTCGCTGTGGAGAGCTTTGCGGAGGTGCTGCTGAGGACTGGGAAACTGGCGGAGGCTGAGCCTGATGGGAGTGGAGCATTTCCAACCACGGAAGGTAAGCGAGATGCTCCCGACCCTGACTCCTCACTGGCCTGGCTGTTGGGGGATGGTGACCACGTGCAGATAGCTGGGCACACAGACAGGGATGGAGTTCCCAGTAATTTATTGAGAACCTGGCATTTTCTGGATGCCTATGCTGAGGATTTTTTTTTTTTTCTTTTTTGTATTTTAAGGAAGAGTCTACAGGATGTTCAGGGTCTCATTACTAGATCAGACTCATAGTTATCTGCCTGTTTTCAGCCTCCCAAGAGCTGGGATTATAGGGCGCACCACCATGCCCAGTCTTAATTGCCTTCTCAACGTGCCCTGGGGGCAGGGCTGGCATGACAGGCCCGGGGATCGAATCCCTGGCCCCTGTGCCTGCTTGCAAATGCTTTAATCTGCTAAGCCATTTGGTCGGCCCTGTATTCTGAGGATGTAAAAGGATGCATGAGATATAATTCTTAGCTTTAAGTGCCTAATTTTGTGAATAGTTCCCCTAACAAATGGTGTCCTGTGCTTAATACCTATTTATTTCTTTCCTATTTTTATGCTTAATCAATTACAAATCTGCATCTTATTTTAAGAATTTTCTTTTTGATTAGAGTTTTGGAGACAGGTCTTGTTCTGTAGTCCAGGCTGGCCTTGAACTCACTATGTAGCCAAGTTGGCCTTGAACTCAGAGCCATCCTGCAGCCTTAGCCTCCTGAGTGCTAGGGTTCTAGGCATGCACCACCACAACCAGCCAATTTTAAGAATTTTCTATTTGGTGGCATAGCGTTAGCTCTAGAGTTGGAAAGGAAGGAAACGTATGAGTTTACCCATGGTGGCTTGCTGCCTTACTCTCTCCTTAGCATCTTTGTTTCTTCAGGACTCCAGGGTAGAGATCTCTTGACTTTTGTCTTTCCTTTTGCTCTCTCTCTTTTGTGCTGTCCTTGTGAGTACCTCATGATTTAAAGGTTGCTGGAGCTCCAGCCATCAGGTCTGTATTCTGGGCTGTCACTGAGAAGAAGGGGTGCACTTTTCTTGGAAGTCTTGTCTGTGACTCCCATTCACATATTCCTGTCCCCTCACCACCCATGCACTGGGATGGTGCCAGGCAGGCTACTTGAGCAACTGCCCTGTGGGGTAAAGGCCGGCAAGTATATGTGGGCAGTAGAACTGCCATTTCCCCCCAAAACTGATGCTATAAACATTTTTAGATATTTCTTTAATTGGTATTCACATTCAGGAAGAAAGGTAAGTGCTCCTTCCCCACTCATTTATGTGGATCTTAGAATACTGGAAGTTTTTATTTGATTCTAGGGTGCATGCTTTCCTACTTACTATCTTTAATCTTGCAGTTTGGGCTGTGTTGGTTCCTTTTCCTAAAGACTGTTAGGTAATTCCTGGTGGGTTTACAGTTGATGTTTCCTCTGTATGAAGATTGTAGTAACATTATTCCTCCTCCATGAATTAGTCTTCATTGATAGTTGCTTTTCTTTTTATTGTCCTGGCTGCTTACCCAACCCCAGAATGCAGTGGGAGTTGCTGTGCATCAATAGTGTGATAACAGGGGATTCAGCATGCCGGTTCACAGGGTGTTCTCATTTCATGTCTCTTGCTGGCTACATTTGTAGATGTGAGATGTCACAAAAGGTAAACCAAAAAGTAAACAGAAGATGGAGCCAAAGGGCTTGAGGTTTGAGAGATGGGCCCCTGCATGTGGGTTGCTGTGTGCTGCAGTGTCACTGTTGGCAGAGAGGTAGAGAGCACTTAGGCAGGAGGCCTGGCCTTGTGGGTGCTTCTGCCAGGACTCGGGGCTCTAGGATGGTCACTTAGGTGGCCTGCTGAGAGTGATGTCGCCTTGTAGAGGAGTCTGAGAACAAGCTTCCTCCCTACTGTGCTCACAGAGTCACTGGTATCTGGCTTCCTCCATTCTTTGGGCTTGATATAAGCTTTGTATTTAATTATATGCATTCAGAGATGCTAGTGGCTACTCTGTGAGGGGTGTGTGTGTGTGTGTGTGTGTGTGTGTGAGAGAGAGAGAGAGAGAGAGAGAGAGATCCAGAACTCAGTGACAGAGGAAGATCCCGCCCTGGGGCAATGTCCTCAAGTAGTATCTCTCCTCTGTGTCCTCATTGCTCTTTCAAGCTGGTTTTGTCTTAGTTTGGGTTGTTTCTGTGTAGCATTTGTTTCTGGTCTGTAACATAGCTTTTGGAATATCTTTGGTGGTAGCACGTTGTTATCCCTTGAGGGTGCCTTGATTTTTGGAAATAGTCAAATGAATGATAAATAAGAGGCAGATTGAGTTGATGTTATGACAAAGAAGTTGGGACTAGAAGATTGTAGTGATGGGACGTCCTCTTCCCGGTGGGCCTAAGCCTGGCTTGTCTGCAGCTGTGTGAAGGAAAGTTCTGCGGCAGCCCCAGAACGCACAGCTCCTCAGGGATGCCTCCAGGAGACAGTGATAATTCTGCTGAGTGGCTTCAGATACACCTGTTTGGAAAGTGACCTTTTTTGTGCATAATAAAGGAAAATATCTGAAGAAAATTAAGGTGGGTGTGGAAAACAGCTAGGTGAGGTTGCGGTTGAAGGTCATGTTGTGCAGACTAAGGATGGAGGAATTAGCAGTTGGTGAAACTTCTGGGTTTTCTTCTTGCATTGGGGGCTGGAAGGACTGGTAGACATGTGTCTGATGGTGGAAGATGAATGCAAAGGGGCAGACATGGGGTGTGTGTGTGGTGCTGTTCCTATGGTGTGTAATTCTGCTCTAACTCCTACACAAGTGGCCCAGGACCTTTAATGGACTGTGTTTATATAGTTTCTCTTGCTTTATCTTCTGGTATGCAAATTCACAGCTTAATCCCTCCATCCTTCAGTTTTCAAGTCTTCTAGGATACATTCACCAATCTTATACTTATTTGTTCCTATAATTGCTTATACAAAATTATTTTGGGCCCTTTGTATTGTGTTAGGAGATTTTCTCTTGTCCTAACACATTTATTCCTTTCAGGGACTCTTACAGTAATGTCTAGTTCAGAGAAGGTTTTCATTGATCTTGAGTGAACTAGGAAATGGGCTTTGAAATGAATGGCTTTGATTGGAAAATGTCTCATAAACTATACAGGTTCTTGAGAGATGTGATTGGCCATTCATTTGGTTCACACAGTTTGAAGAGCAACAGGAAATGGATATTTAGAGAAGCACAGAGAATCCTCATGTTTTATCTTGTGACTCATCCATGGAGAACCTTGACTTGAGACAAAATACCCAACAGTCACAGTTAAAGGAAGAAAGTTTTTTTTTAGCTCACTGGTTGCAGAGGTTTCACTCCATAATTGGCTGGCTCCCAGGCAGGGTGGCACAGGAAGGGCAGAAGAGAAGCAGTTCATAGTGGGCAGAAGGTAGTAAAGCAACCAGAGGCAACCACACCTCTTTCTGTCTCTTCTATCTTATTCAAGCTACTCAGAGCGAGCAGCCTTCATCCTAGTGCCTTTGATTCTACCATTACACCATGAATCAGTCCCAGCATCACACACTCTAGATCCAGCCACCTCAGAGAATGCCCTATCTATGATCGCATGAGGCTTTGAGGGGACATCGAGACATAAGCCATGACACATTGTAGGGACTTTGCTCCTATAGCACGGGTACCATAGTGGGCTGTTTGTATCATTGAAATTGCTAAAAGGTTCGCCATCACTGGGCATAGATACTGGCTGTACTTGGATCATTATGCAAATGACTTAAATACTCATCCAACTGAGGGAAACCTGGGAGAACTCATGGGTGTATTTCCAGATATACATTTACTTTTGATGATTTACTTGCCACTGTCCTTCAGTTCAGATCATGGGAGTCTGTATTTTAAAAATAAAGAGTTTATATTGTGATTATGCCTGAACACCTGGTATTTTCTTGAAGGCACTTAGTAAAATGCTTGCTATTAACAAACTGCATATGAACACAGAACATATTGGCAGTGTACTCTTTTATGAAAACCATGACATTGGTAGGTTTTGCACATTTAAAACTTTTGTAGAAAAGTCATTAAGGGTTGGGACAGTTTAAGACATGAGTAGAACAGAAGACTGGTTTTCTTTTGTGGGGTGTCTTGAAGAGGGTTGTTCTTAGAGAACAAAGTCATGTTATCAGTGTAATAATCAAGAAGTTCATCCTGCCTTAGTGTGCACAAGGGCTGTATTATAGCTCTTATTTTAGGACTCTTTAGTACTTCTGTGACCACCTTTCGCATAGGCTATCACCAAACACAGAACTTCACAGCCTGGCCTGCACCCTTTTATCCAGAAGGTGTAGCTTCCAGGACCATCTCCATGGCACTTTGACCCATGTGATGGCTGCCCCAGCAGGGTCCCTCCTGTCGGGGAGGGTTGTTATTTAGTGCAGGTTGTGGGATCTGTGCTTGGATGGTGCCAAGTAGATTTCCATGAAATGTCTTGTAAGAGTCCTTCTGAGTTAATTGGTCTGTTGAAACCACACAGAACTGAAAGTGTGATGGTCAGTGTGAATGTCCTAGGGTCCTGCGTAGAACGACAACGCTCACTGTGAATGTCCTAGGGTCTCACACACAGTAACATTTACATCCCTGCATTAGTTCTCTTACAGCTAGCGAGCGATGCTTTGCCCTGCGACATGACTTTGGCCCTTGCTTATCTCCTTGCCTTACCACAGGTAAGTTGGTCCTTAGGAATGAACAGTTTTATTTATTTATTTATTTTAATGTATTCAGTATAAGGTCTACAGAGTCTTACTCCGTAGATCGGACTCGTGTGATTCTCCTGTTTTCAGCCTCCCAAGTGCTGGGATTACAGGCATGTGCCACCACGCCCAGTTTCAGTCGTCCTCTCAGTGTGCCCCAAGGGCAGGGCCAGCGGGACATGCCTGAGATCGAACCCCAGAGTCTGAACCTAAGCAGGCGCTTTAATTCGCTGAGCTATCTGGCTGGCCCTGGGAATGAAGAGTTTTAAATAAGCCAAGGGGTCTGTTCTGGCGACCTTTCTCAGTGGCACTATTTCTCATGGGTGTCATTACCTGCCCATGTTCATAGGTGCTTGTCCACAGAGAGAACCCTACAGCCTTTGCCTGAAGCTTGCTTCAGATCCATGTTTCCTTCAGTGCACCTGCCTGGCAGTGTCTTCTGAATTTTCACACTGTCTCACTGAAGTGCAGTTTGACCTTGAGTGACATGATGGAAACTTGTGTCACCCTCCTGGGTCATGATGCAAAATAGAACGGCTTGTCTTCTGCTCACTTCTTTCCCCCGCATCAATGACATCTTGCTCTTTCCTAGGTGTTAGATGCGAATCGCTGCTTTGCGAAGCAGTCACACTCGGCACTGTCACTCCAGCTGGCAGCATACTACTACAGCCTCCAGATCTACGCCCGCCTGGCACCGTGCTTCAGTGACAAGTGCCACCCTCTGTACAGAGTGAGTCCCCTGGTCCCCTTCTTGTTCTGGGGGAGCCCACTCTTCTAGTCAAAGCACACAATTCCTCTTTGTGACCAGGCTCAGCCCATGTGACTCAAGTCACTATTGCTTATCTGCCTGTCGTGAGTAGAGCTTCTTACACTTATTGTGACTGATACTCCCCCAGCACTTCTCTTTTATTTTTCTGAGTACTAAGTTAGGAAAGGCTAACACAGTAGAAGAGGCTAAGTGGAGGATTGGTGTTGTAATTCATTACCCAAGAGGAGAACAGTTGTCCTAACTCAGCAAAGGAGGTGACATGCATCTTTGAGAGTGCTGCGCTTTATTTTTAAGCCAGAGATATAAAAGTGATTTACAAATAAAGTACTGGAACATAGTATTCCTGCTGCCACAAGATTCCCCCAGCTTTCATGTATGCACCTTTATTAATTTCTGAGTGAAAACACCTGAGCATGGCCTCTAGCACTGCAGTTTTGGGTCCCAGCATGCAGCCCTCCCTAACATCTGCACCTGGGAAGGTCAGATGTGCTGATCTGGGCCTGCAGAGCCCACCATGCTGGGTGTGTAGAGAGGGAAGCCAGGCTTGTCTGGGCCCTACTACCCTCACACTCACCTGGTCATGAACAGAGTGTGTAAGAGCATTCCCCTAGCTGGGCGTGGTGGCGCATGACTGTCATCCCAGCAGTGTGGAAAGCAGAGTCAGGAGGATCACAAGTTCAGGCCATCCTGGACAACTTAGTGATTTAGTGAGACTTTGTCTCAAAATAGAAAATAAAAAACAGCTGGCAGAGCAGCTCAGTGCAGCGTGCTGGGTTTAACCTGCAGACTTGTAATAAGAAAAGAAACACCTTCTCCTTTAGGAGTGACATTGCATTGGGAAAGAAGCTTCAGAAATAAGTAAATCAAATATATATTCAAACTGAAAGTGATAGGGAAGTGGGGGGATGTGTGTGTGCCACTCAGACAGTGGCCTTAGAGGAAGACCAGATGCACTGTCATCCTCTGGTCTTCCTCCAAGGCCACTGTCTGAGTAGGTGCCTTCCCTAACTCTGTTCAAACAGCACTGACACCCCCGACCTTCTGGGTGGAGGGCACAGAGGACAGGACTAGCCCCAGGCCATAGGAGTGCTGCTCTTGTGTTGTTACTGAGAAGCCAGTATCAGTCCAAATGGAAGACTCTTTGCACTGACATGTTAGAAGTCATCATTTATTATGCTAGTGGGCTGGGGAACTAGAGGTTCAAATCACCAGCCCAGAGTCAGGTTTGAGTTCAATTTAAATATGGTTTGTGAGTGGGAATTATGAAGCTAATAGTTTATTACATGATTGGTTGCATAGAATACAATAATTATGTGACATGCGCTCAGGCTGATTTGTACAGGAACATTCTGGGAGGGAGAGAATCTGAGAAGAGTAGGTAGATTTGAAAGTGTCCTTGGGCATCCTTGAAGCAAGGTGGAATCATTGCATGTTTTTAAACTATAAGCTGGACACAGTCAGTTTGACTCACACATTGTTAAGGGGGAACACGTGGGCCTAGATGGCAAGGTTTGCTATGTGACAGGCGCTGTGAGCATAGTCACAGGTTGTGAACTGATTTCTAACTCTTGTTACAGTATGCCTACAAGTCTGCTTTTCTGTAAGTGTGCCCTACAGTGTCATTTTCACGAGGTGTTCCAGTTGGTGTTTACAGCCCACAGTGTCACATTCAAGGAGAGAGAAGGACTGAAATGCGGTCTGTGACCAGACTCCCTGGTCAGTGCTCCGGTCAGTCACTGAGCCTGCTGTGAACTTTCCCTCCTGGCTTGTTGTCATGCAGCCCATTTTGCTCTGCGCAGTGAGGCCAGGGTGATTTTCAGTGCCTCGGCCTGTGAGTGCTGGGATGACAGATGTGTACCACCATGCTTGGCAAGGTCTTTATTTTTATATATTATGAAGAATATATATATATATATATATATACACACACATATATATGTTTATATATGTTTATATATATATGTATAATGTTGGAATAATAATATATAAATGCAGATGGAAGTCACTCTTGTTGTATTGTACCTGGACTTTTCCTACATAAATCTTACCTTTATAACTATGGTAAAATATGTCCTGAAGTGATCTTTACAAATATGATCTTTGTAGCATTCTTTTTATTTTTTCTATTTATTTGTTTCTTTATTTCTTAATTTCATTTAATTTTTATTTATTTATTTTTCTTGGTACTGAGGATTGAACTCAGGACCCTGCGCTTGCCAGGTGAGCAAATTTTATGTATTTGGTATAGGGTCTCACTACACACCTTGGACTTGCAGTGGTGATCCTCCTGTTTTCAGACTCCCCAGTGCTGGGATTACAGGCATGTGCCACCACACCCAGACTCGGTTGCTGGCTAAGTGCGCCTGGGGGGGTGGGGCCAGTGTGGCCTGTGGTGCTGGGGATCAAACCCCTGTCCCTGTGCTTACCTAAGCAGGCACTTAGTCTGCTGAGCTGTCTTGCCAGCTGTACAGCATTCTTTTAAAAAAGTGTTCAGAAGATGAAATCAGTTAAAAATGGAAATACGTCTTTTTGTTTATAGTCCATAGAGTCAAACACAGCAGGAATGAAATTCAAAACTATGTGGTAGACTTTCTAGGATGTGTTTTTTTAAGCTACTAATTGAAAATACTAAGTAGAAAATTATCTCAAGCAAAATAACAACCCTAGAGGGGAAACATACCACCTGTTTAAAACTTCTCAGACAATATTAAGCAGAAATGGAGACGATTATACCAGAATGGATTTATTATTCCTACTGGTGAGCAGTATATTGAGTCAGTGAGCTTTTCCATTGTCATGAATTTTTATATGTATTTTTGAGATTTGATCATATTTGTTAGAGCGATTATATTTCATTCAGTCCCTGAAGAACTGAATTTCCACATTTGGGGAAAAAAATAGAATAATTTAGTTCTTCCCATTATTCCTTTTTAAGTTCTTGGTGCTTTTTTATGCCAGTATTTTTTACAGCCTGTGATATTTTACAGTATTAGTCTGATATTGAACATGGATCATCTCGAAGTTTACCCATAAAGCCCTTTGTAGTCTTGCTAGGGGCTAAAGGCTTTTCTCTAACAACTCACATCATGGGACTTGTGGAGGAAAGAAGTGCGAGTGCGCACCAAACAAGAGAACCCAGGTGTGTGCTGTAGGCGGATGTGAGCGGAGGCAGCCGTGGGACTGTGTGCCTGGACTCCTCCAGGATGGCTGTGCGGCTAGGGGCGGTTGTTACATGGACGGTGCGTGTGCACACCTCCGCCAGTCACTAGCTCTGAGGTCTTTGTGCGAGTGCTTGGGCCACTTGGCTGTTGCAGTGATGGACCGAGGGGTGCTTTGAAGTCCCATGTTGATCTGTGGCCCCCAGCAAGCTGCCGAGCCTGTGTGCATGTTTTTTATGGGTGATAAAACAATGAAGCAGCAGCTCCACATCACCCTCCACTAAGCATCAATGTGGGCCGCAGACTCAGCTGCCAGGTCAAAGCCGGCCCCCTGTGCCCTGTTCTGTGTATCTGCAGAGCAGAAGACTGCACGCTTCCTGGGAAAGGCCTATACCCAGAAGCTGTCATTCACATTAAGAGAAGGAAAGCACACAGAAGATGTACAATTAAAGTGTATGCTTTTGTACCAAGTTCTACGCTTGTCCTGTGGGTCACCTGCCCACTGTCATTTTATACTTACCATTTCCTGGATGCCTCACAACATGGAAGCAGTTTTCATTGCTGGTTTGCAGGTGACACTCTGAAGTTCATAGTCACTAAGTTGGTCATACAGGGTCCACTGGCTACTAAGCTGGGCATGTCTGTGCTCATTTTATATGCTACTTCTTAACTGACAAAAATGATAGTGCGTTTTTTTCCTGCTACATGTGAATTTGAAAGTTGCTGTGACTTTCTGCAGGGTACATAAAGGTGTCTTCAGGTACAGCAGTTGCACACCATTCTTCTATACTGCCAGTTGGTGGTGCTGCTTTCCATCTGGCCCTGGGATTTGTGGTGGGTTAACACTGAGCTGGGCATCAGTGTGGCCCTGGGTGTGGAAGGCCCACCTGAGAATTGCCACCAACAGCATAAAAGGAGAACGGGAGGGGAGATAGTTAGGTGTTGATTCTCCTGGAGGAGCCTGTCATGCTGGTTTTCCTGATGTAAATTTGGCTGTTCACATTGTCAGAGGAGCTCAGGTCTTCACTCTCACCACGCATGGCTGCAGTTCTCTTTGGGAGAACTCTGGTTCTTACCTTGAACATCACTTCCTGACTCCAGTGCAGATCCCTCAGCCTGCTAGCACAGATCCTTATTCCCGCTGGTGTAGACTTTTTAACTTCCACTACTGACATTTGGGCCTTCCCAGTGTAGATTCTTGATACAGACTTGCCTGAGATATTGTTTTGGGCTCTAGGCCTCCAGCTTGGCTCATGCAGGACATTGCCATTCGATCCAGGCCCTTTGCTGGATTTTTTGGGTCTTTAGTGTGTAGAGAGATTTACTGAACTTTTTTGTATTTAACTCTTTGGGTGACTACTATAAAATACTTCAATGAATTATGCATCCTATATTAAATGTATTTCCTGGTAAACCCTGACTGCAACATGGTTTTTATAAGTTACATCAGAACAGAGAGAGAATGTCAGTGAGATGCAGCCCTGTTGAGGCAGTGATTGTGGTGCCTGACGAGCTGTGCCCATAGGCCTGAGGGCCCAGGAGTGCTGTCCCTGGCCAGGGTAGCTGCAGAAGTGCTCTGCCATAGTAGAAGGCTCAGAGTGGTCCCCTGAGGAGCCCAGTCAGCAAAGAGAGGACAACTGAGTTAAAGGGCAGCATAGCCATTCTAAGAATTGAGGCAGGGGGCCCCTTTATCAGATCCTTTGCCGGAAGTACTGTCTAGTTATGGTGAGATTTGGTCTGCTTGCTTCATCCTTCTGTCTGGCTGTAGCCACCATGTAGACCTCAGCACATACCCTAGTCTTTACTAGAAGTTGTCTTCCTGTTTCTTGGTAACTATATTAGTCACTTTCCCAATGCTGGGTTAAAAAATTTCTAATACCTGAAACTCAAAGGAGGAGAAATTGATTTATGATTTACCTTGTGGTTTCAGTGGGTTCAGTCCATGGCTAGCTGGCTCAGGGGCTGAAGTGGCATGGTACTAGGGCATGGCAGAGTAAGGCTACTTGATCCATGGCAGTCAAGAGTCAGAGAGGAAGGAGCTAAAGCCAGTAATGCACCCTTCCAGGTCACACTCGCGTGGCCTCCTCCAACCAGGCCTCGCCTCCTATAGCACATTCAGCCCTGAACTCATGCATGATGGATATGCTGATGAGCACAGCATCCGTGATCATCAGCTTCTAGCCAGGAGGCTTTGTAGAGGGCATTTAGATTTGGATCATATTTAGACTTAGATCATAACTCTGACCTTTCTGCTATTGGTGCCTGAGGACTTAGCTAAGATATACTCTTCCAAGGAGGAATGGGCATATACCGTCATAGTACTTCTCTTGGTATATAATACGTGCATACACAGAAAATTTGCTAAGTGAATCAAAGGTAGCTTTCTAGCTTGTTGCAGTATTCAGATGCATGTATTTTAACTTAAGACACTTGTGATTTTCAGGAATAGAACTCAGGACCAAAAGAGGTAGGGGAAAATTAAATTCAGTAAGGCTGACTTTTGCTTAGGTCCACCTGCTAGGATCCAGGATTTCTTTAACTGGTTTTCATCTGTGCTGTCAGCTTGTTCCTTCACAGGAACAAGTGAGACTTTCAGGCGCAGTTAGCAGCAGACTCAGCCCTGACAAATCTCCTGTGTGGCTCCGAATGATGCTTCTACCCACCAGAAATGCAGACAGCTTGCTTAAGTTAGGTATGTGTTACCAAGGACCAGGGTAGATTTGGGGGTTTTCCCCTAGTGTGCTCATCTTAAAACGTGTTCTGTGTCATCCCAGAAATGAGTGGTGGAGTGAGTCAATGCTGTCTTCCATGCTTTGTGTCAGTAATTCTGGAATCTGCTTTGTTGACACCCAGATCCACTTTAGTGTGAGTGTTGCTGGCCCGTCCTTACTGTCCTTTCCTGTTGGCTGTTGGCTTCTGGGTTTTGTTCAGCTGGAATAATTTTACTGCCTTTGAGAAGCTGCTAAGAATCATGGAATGCTATCCCACTTGAGCCCCAAATCAAGCAGAGTAGGAGTTAGTTGGACGCTTTGTTATGTAATGCAAAGTGTTCCTGATTTTGGAATCTAGTGTGGGCTGGGTTATCAGATTAATAATATCCCTTAATATCAGTTTCTGTGGGCTGATAGGCCTGCAATCTCCTGAATGAGTGGACAGTGAAGTCTTAAATAAATGAGACAAGTAGTATGCTTTTAGATCTCCAGGAGGATAAAAAAATCTCACAGATTTTGAGATTCTCTGGGTTCTGACCAAGAACTTCCCTGGGTGGCCCATATTCATTAAGTTTTCAAAGGAGAAAGATAGCTGAAGAAAATGAAGGTGAATCTGGAGAACTACCTTATCTTTAGGTTGGCATTTATTGTAGGAGTGCAGAGCCTGCAGCTGCAGTCTCCTTTCAGTTAATTGGGGTTGGAGCCAAAGGTCCTCAATGGCCTTATCCTGTCCTTTGAGGTGTCACAGCTTCACAGGCCACTATAGGCCTCAGTGAGGACCAGTGACTCAGAGGTTCATTTACTATGAGTAGCTGCCCATCTTCACACAAGGGCCTTATAAGCCTCTTCCACATGTAAATATGGAAAGCCAATTGGTTAATATTGAATCCTGCTCAAAGCCCCTTGATCCATCACTTGGTTTTTGTTTTCCTGATTCTCTGGAGAAAGCCTATTCTCTGTAGCTCCTTAGGGTGGGGTCGTTGAACTGCAGCTTTCATTTTGGAAGCAATTTGTGTTGGTTCCCCAAAATGCATCCAGAGGCAAAAGTGATGAAATTTCTGGTGGGGGAGTAATTATACATGATTTATAGTGCAGCAAGAGTGCGATGCAGGTTTATAGGAGGCAAAGCAGCAAGAGGTATTGCTTTTGAAGTGGGAGAGGTTTTCAATGTGGAGGGACAGAGTGGACATCCCATGTATCTGGCCTGGATCCAAGTCCTGACTTTGTGGCCTGCAGTGTCCTCTGTGCTGGCAGCAGGCCACAATGTGCCTGGGTTTAGTGGCGGCAGACACAGTCTTTTTTCTGTCCCTCCCATGCTCATCTTGGTGAGTGCACATCTGATGCATCTCCCATTCCTTTCACAGGCTGACCCCAAAGAGCTAATCAGGATGGTCACCAGCCACGTGACTCGTCATGGACATGAAGCCTGGCCAGAGGACCTGGTCTCGCTCACAGAGCAGCTGCATTACTACAACGAGCGGCTGCTGGACCTCACACAGGCGCAGCTCCTGCAGGGCCTGGGCAAGGGCGTGGACGTGCAGCGCTTCACTGCTGATGACCAGTACAAGCGGGAGACCATCCTTGGACTGGCAGAGTAAGGGTACTTTTGTCTTGTGAGGCATTAGGTCCGAGACACACATAAGCTGTGCTCTCAGAATACCATTCATAGTCCTTCCTTGACTGACACGTGCTGCAGCTGTCCACAGGGCCGGCCCACTCCTCCTGGTCGTAGGAGAGATGCGTGTGTCCTCTTAAATAGCAGTAGATGGCTTGCAACACTTTCAGCCTGCACACATCAATAGCAAGCTCTAGCCCTGTTGGTTTTAAAGTTCCTCAAGCCTTTGTAGTCTAGTGCCAAGATTATGACATAGTAGAGGAAGTAGAGGGTCAAGGGAGAAGTAGGGTGATTATTGGTGGATTGTTATAAGCCAGATTGCCAGAAAATCTTACTCTCCAAAGTACCAGGCAGTTGTGTGCAGTGGCACATGTCTGTAATCTCAGCATGTAGGGAGGCTGAGGCAGGATGATCACAAGTTTTGAGTGCTTCATAGGTGACTTTTTAAAAAGTACCTAGCTGTTTAATGTTTTCATTGCATGTAAATTAGATCTCATTGATATGATATGTGGGGACAACACTATGTAGACTCTCTGGGTTCCTTTATCGGCCCTGGGCTTCTAGAGGAAGAGAGGCCACCAGCGCTTATCACCTCTGTTGGAGGCCAGGAGTGGCCATCACCCACTTCCCTGTGGGCCTTGTACTTTCGAGGGAGGTGCAGCCGCTGGGGGAGGCCAGTGCAGCTTGATGCTGTCTGAGTGGGAGTTGCCTTTGCTTCTGCAAGCAGAAATGTCTTGTTTCTCATACCACACTTTTGTGGGTGCTCACTGCCCTGGGTGAGGTACTTCAGAAACTATCTATAAATATCACCCATCCTCCTAGATGACCTGTGAGGTGAAATGTTGTCTCCCCATTTTATAGCTGGGAGATTTGGTGCTTCAGGATATGTGGCCATGGACCAATTTCCCATAGTTAGTGACCGTGACAAGTCTGATTCCAAGTCTTTGAGCTGGCCCTGTGCTGTGTCAAAGCCACACCGCCTGGAAGCCATGGGCCCTCTGTATCCTTTTCCAGTGTCCTGTGGCAGCACTGGGCCCCAGCCTTGGGGCTGAGGAGAAATCTCCCCATAGAGAGGTGATTCATTGCTCCTGCCATGTTTTAGACTTAACAGAATGAGCCTGATGACAGGCATGTGTACATCCATCTACTTGTCTCCTTGAGGAAGTGGCCAGGTTGTTAGGACCCCTGATAATGTCTTACAGCCTTGGGCTTTCTTCCCACAGAAGCTGCCCAGGACCATGCAGGGTGTGGGAAGACCAAAGCAAAGCTGGTGCAGACTGCCGTGGTGGCTCTGTGGCAAATGAGTGTGCAGTCCCCATCACTTGCCTTCCTCCTGGAGGTCCCTAGTTATGTAGTTGCTCTGTGTCTGGTGTGACAGCTTGCACTGCAGCTCTCAGAGCTTCAAGGAGTTGTGCAAGGCCATGTGGCCAGGCGCTGAATCTTGACTGGAACCCTTTTCCTTTGGGCAGCTCGTAAGCATGACACTGTCTACCATGTCTATACAGAGTGGGTGTTAGGAATGGTGTCTGAGATCATTAGTTACATTTTGCTAGGTCTGTTTTCTTTTTAAAGTGTTCAGCTAGCATATGCTATTTGAAGTATGTCCTAGAGGACAAATACATGCTTTTGATAAATATATAATAGACTCTTCTCTATGTTCTATTGCTTAGAAAAATACACTGCAGTCTTTGGATGGTTTGTTTAAAGTGCCCCAGCGTTTCACAGGTTTGCAGTTCTGCCAGTTCTGATTTGGATTTCAGTGTCTTTTGTAGATGAATTGCATGACCCACTTCCTCTAACTCTTCCACATTGGGCGTAAAGTGGCTTTCTTGATTTTCTTGCTTGTTTGTTACTATCTTTAATGGCAGTTGTTCTTTCCTTTGTAATTACGTTGTCTGCCTTTTCCTGGCTGCATCTTTTGGATGACACCTTCTCAGAGGACAAGTAGTCAGCTTGGAAGAGTGCAGGACACATTCTGGTCCCTTCCCAGCTTCATCAAGTGGTAAATACATCCATAAGTTGGATGTGGTGGCACAGACAGCAGTGCCAGCTATGCCAAAGGCTGAGACGGGAGCATTTTGAGTTTGAGCCCAACCTGGAAAACTTAATGACTTAGACCTTATCAAACAACACAAGGGCCGGCCAGATAGCTTAGCAGATTAAAGCGCCTGCTTAGACAGACACAGGGACTGAGGTTCAGTGCCCAGCCTGCAGTGCCAGCCCCACCCCCAGGGCGCACGAAGACTTCCATGGAGGCTGGGTTTGGTGGTGCATGCCTGTAATCCCAGCTCTTGGGAGGCTGAATACAGGAGAATCACTACAAGTCGTCTATGTAGTGAGACCCTGTAGACCCTGTGCTAAAAACCAAAACCAAACCAAATAAAACAAAACAGCGCAGCATAACACAAGACAGGAGTAGGGATAAGGCTTAGCATTAAGGCCCTGTGTTCACTGTCTAGTGCTGCAAAACAGACACCACAGAAGGTAACTCACATGTAGGGGCCCTGAGCACAATCCCTGACACTGCAAAGAAAGATGTTAACCCAGCATGTACTTGCAGTAGGCGGCATACAAGACTCTGAGGAGAGGAAGGGCAAGTGAGTAACGATCCTTATCATGGGGATTTTTACTCTGTCTTGAGGACGTAGTTACTGAAATAAGAAAATGTCACTTGAATTGGCTTAATCCACAGGTTAACAAACTTACCCAGCCCTGGCCCCCCCCCCCCTTTTTTTTTGTATAACCCATAAACATGGAATTGCTTTCATGCTTGTAAAGGTTTATGGGAAAACAATAAAAGAACTGTACCTTAGGGATTATATGGCAGCAAAGACTGAAATATTTATTGTGTGGCCCTTGGAAGAAGACATTTGTGAACCCCTGGCTAATCTAACGTGTAAATGCCACAGTTTACTTTCCTAGGGTGAATGTAGCCTTAACAGTGGTATTAACAGTTTTCCTTTTTTGCTGCTGTGCCTTTGTTACCTCCTTCCAACACAAAATTCCACCTTCCAGCCCAGAGTTCCACCTTCCAGCCCAGAGTTC